TAACAAACTGAAACTGTGACGAGCAAAAAGTATCTCTCGAGGTTCTGTGTAGATACACGTAAATGCATTTCATTCAATAGGGGCCGCACTAGAATGGATTTGATCCAGCGTGCATATGTGTTCCTCCCAACGCAGGTCCAAATGAACTGTACTGTTCAGAGGGAGCGCCATCGGGAAAAAGGGGGAGCGTGTTTCTTGTGAAGTGAACCAGGCCAACTTCCATTTCTGTCAAGTTGGTGTCGCGAGTCGACTTTTGTGAAGGATTGTGACGTCCCATTGCTAGTATTGCTCTTTTTTCCCCCCACCACAGATGAAAGACGAAGAGATGCTGCCCCAGTGCGTAGGGCGACCGTCTGTGAAAGTCCATTTCTATCACACCATGTGTTTAATATGCAGAATGTTTGACAAAAGTTCTGGAGGTACTTCATATACAGATACTACTTACTCTCAACAATCCCCCCCTCCCCTCCCCTTAATAGAAATAATCTGCTGGCACCTGCATTCCTTTTATTCGCTCATCATGTCCTCCAATGCTTAATAGCCCGGAACGCTATGCTAAGCTAGTGGATGGAACCTGTGAGCCATGACGACTGATAAAAGCGTTGATTCTGTCAGCACCATTTACGCTGCCAAAACATGAGTCATGATGTGACTGCCACAGGCCTTTGTTATAGTAATAATATTTTTTGTCTCTATTGTTTAAAATTGCAATAACTATTGCGTCAAAGCATGACACTGAAGATGTTCGTTTTTTCTTCTTTCCTTTCTTTCTCGCATCACGACCTGCAGCTGCAGTGAGTATGCATCCTGTTATTGTTATTGTGGGTTCGAGGTGATGAGCACTAAATGACACTTCTTTTTCAGTTGTGTGCTCACTTTATTAAACTATGTGCGTGCGCTCACAATTTATCTTTTTGTTTAGCAAACGTGTGCAATATACTTCCAGAATTGTGTTGAGGATTTCTGTATTCCTTATTATTTTTCTATATTCTAGTTAGTAATAAATACTTAATCACAAACAAGTTCATGATGCTTTTGATTTCTCACAAGGCCTTAATCCACAAATTTCCACCACAGTGGTTTTACTATTAAGTCATAGATTGCGTCTTTTTGAGTCCATATCACCTGTGGATATGCAGGAAGCGTTTCTGTAGACCTCGATAATGGACCAACAGTCCCTTTGCATGCAGCTGGTCAGGTATTCGGACGACGACGGAGACACGTCTGTGTGCACGGAACAAGTGTCATGATCCCGGGAGCATCGTCTGTCTCGGGCTGGCACCAGCGGGGTCGGGGCCTGGAGTCTACCGGCCCCACGACTCCCAGGGCCCAGGGCGAGACCACCTTTGATCCCCCCCTCCCCCCCCCCCCCCAAAGTTCACAAAATTCTGCAGTTGTATTTTATTTTTTTATTTTAACATAAGTGAGAGAATTACATTAGAAAAACACAATTAACAGAGTCCAGTTACTCTTGCAATTACAACAGGAAACACACATTTGCACAAAATATACAATACAAAAGAATAATATACAAATAAAATATAGAATAAATATTGTAAATAGCACAAATTCTTCATCACACAAATGTGGAAACACACTAAATACAATCAAACTGTTTCACTATTGCACTAAGAACAGAAAACACAAACTAAACAAACTGAACCTGACGTTTCTGGCCTTCCTTGATGCAAAATCATCAATAATGTCTTTGTATGAAATCTGCTCCCTATTGAATGATTGATGCTGATGACACCAAGGCCAGTGAGCCGTTTCTGGGACATGGTTGACCTAAGGTATGACTTGATCAACTTCAGGTTGGAAAAGCTCCTCTCTGCTTGAGCCACAGTGACTGACAGAGTAAGTGCAATCCTGAGAGCAGTCCAAAAGTTGGGGTAGATCTCTGATAGATCCTTGTCATGCACAAAAGTGATTAGCTCAAGGAGGTTCATGGTCTTTGATGGCAGGTCAGGGAAGTTCTTAATTTCCTGCACAAGCTTTCTACAGTCCAAATCAGAGTGCCCCTTAAAGTGCAGTGTGGTGCCTAGTGCCTCGCATTGCTCTGCCAGCTCTTCATCTGCAAGACTTGGGAAATGTGTCAACACCCTGAATTTATTTCCCACATTTTCCAATGTGGAAAATCTCTCCTTGATGGCTGATGTGGCTGTATAATCATACAGAGAGACAACATATTTGCATACCTCCATCTTTTGCTCATTTCTCCTCCTCTTCTTTTCTTTTCTTTCTGTAGTGGGAACCTGATGATTTTAACCTTTTTCTGTCCATCTGTTTTTATTTGCCTCTGACTTGACAAGCAACAGATTTCCCATCCCCCCAACATTGACAGTCACGACCAGAAGTCAAGACTAAACCAATTAACCTTGGTGACAGGTGACACATAATTGTTTTGTATTACCAATTTGTATTGGCCATTTCACACAATTCACAAAAAACAAAAATGTGCAGGAACTATAGGCTTGCATTTATCATTATTGAAATATTCGTTATTTGTAAGAAAGTCGGGGTGTGACTGACTTTAGCCCACTAATTACATTAGCGTATATAACAGTGAATCCCCCCGACCCCCTTATCCGACCGTTCCATTTGGGTGACCCAGAGGTGAACTGTCCCCGCGCGCCCCTCCCTTTTCCCCTTCTCAAACACACAGCTTCTGTGCACAGCACCTCCAACAAGCAGGGCGCCTGCAGCCGCAGGGGGCGCCAATCTGCCAATTCCCCACACAGTGAAACGATAGATGATAGAAAACTGCTTCGCGGAGCAGAGGATTTTTTTTTTTCCAGCGCTCATGCCGGCCCCCATGAGCCATGAGAAAAAGGCCGCCCCGGCTGCCCCGTTCGCCCGTGCCCAAAACGCCACTGGGTACCGGGGTCGGAGGAGCGAGTCGGGGAACGGCAACGGGAGGTCGCTGCGGCGGCCCAACGGGAACGGGAGATCGCTGCTTCCGCTGGCCAGGGTTCCTCCTCCTGGGGTTTAGGAGGTCCCGGAGCTCGAGACAAGCTCTCTGGTAGCTCTTGGGGATACAAACACAAAGTTTGTCTTCCGCTGCCAAAACGGGCTCCTAACATCCATGTAGACAAGTCCGTAGTCTGGCAGCGGGTCTGCTGAGCCCTTCGTGGTCGCGTCATTCTGTCAGGGGTGCGTGGGAGGTAGAACTCAAATGCAGAGTTTTGAAGAAAAAATACTTTAATGGTCATAAACTCCAACACAAAGTGGCCAAGGGGCAAAAACGCACACAAATACTAGGGGGGAAAAGGCAGGCAGGAACCAGAGACATCCAGGACAATAGACAATGACGCGACAAGTGACACAAGAGACACACGGACACAGGTGGAAACAATCAGACAATTATAGGGGATGACAGGACCAGGCAGGAAGTGAAGTTACCCAGGGAGACAAGAAGCAGAAAACTACAAAATAAGACAGGAAATAAAACCACACACTTGCAAGTTTTACCTTTTTCAGATGCGCCCATGGAAGAACTGACTGAGTGGACTAATAGTGGAGAAATTGTGTGAATTGTACGCCTATGGAAAGGTTTTTAATAGAGATACAGATGGGAAATGAAGATAACAAAACAATAAGTAAGCTTTATAACTTCTTTCTATCTAATGAATCAACATAATTCCCTAGAAATAAAGCGGAGATGGGAGGCGGAGATGAACAGGATCATACCACAGAATACATGGGACGAAATGTGCACAGAGGCACACTTGGTTTCCAACTCAAACACTTGGAGGGAATATAAATAGAAAATAATTATTCTTCAGAACGCCAGAAATATTAGCCAAGATGGGCTTAACACACTCCAACTTGTGCTGGCAGCGAGCACAGTGTGACTATATACGGATGATGGGGCCATTTGGATGAGAGGAAGGAATGTGTCATACGTATTAGGTAACATAATGAAAGCGATCAGGGAAGTAGAGATGTGGTCATATAAGTGGGGAGTCAAGATGTCGACAAGCAAATCTTGTTATTTGATGTTTACAAAGAAGCGCAAGTGCCATGTTGAAAGTTTAAAATTATATGAGCAGACAATGGTGAAAGTAAATGAATTTAAGTACCTGGGACTATGGTTCTATAGTAGGTGTACATGGAAAATGCATATTAGGAACTTAGAAACTAAATGCAAAAAAGTTATAAACTTGAGAGCTGTGGCGGGATGTGACTGGGGTGAAGAAGGCAGTCGTTAATTAACATCTATAGGGCTTGCATGAGGTCATCAATAGACTATGGTTGCATAGTTTATGGTGCAGCGGCAAAAACAGTGCTGGAAAAAATTAATAGATTACAGTATAGAGCATTACGTGTATGCACCGGAGCTGTTAAGACAACCCCCATTAATGCTATACTCATAGAAGCTGGAGAGATACCTTTGGAGTTAAGAGAGAAACTGGTGATGGCGTTTTGGATTAGATTGAAAGAAAGTGGGAAAGGAAACTCTGCAAAAGAAAACAATACAGGAATGTTGGGAGTATACAAAGTTTCAGGGGTTCGGGTTTGGATGGACAAGAGAAATGAGAGTGAGGGAATATGAAATGGAAGCCATAAATTTCACCACAGTGGCACAACTAATTATTGTTTTTATCTTTGGGATAAAAGATAACAGAATAGTTTTGCAAGGCAGGAAACAGCTATTAGATGTGACAATGTTCAAAGGGAAATGTATGCTAATTGATATATCAAAACATACAAACCCTTTATTCATGTATCCCTCCAAGATGCAGCGTGGAAGACGTGGAAAAGTGGAGGAAAAGTACTTAGAAAAACTAGAAAAAAAGATGGGATTGAAGAACCGGATTTACTGAATCATAAAATTTCAGATGGGTGTTTTTTGGAGACATCAGAGTGGGGAGGAGGGCTGGTTATTCTGCCACTATTAACAAAAAACCCCGATATTAACACACAGCAAATAGCAGACTGGATTGCATTGAGGATTCCAGAATTACGGCAGCACAGCAGTCAAGAGGCAGAGGCAGATGGTATCTTCTTTCTTTTTAATAAAACAATGTGACAAAACAGATAACCAAGCGCATTTCCGGTGTTCGCCAAGCTAAATTAAACGTAAGCACCCCAGGGCCGCTATCCGACTTAGCGGGTTCTCTTCCCGACCTGCCTTCTCCCTGCCATCTTTCTCCTTGATGAGGAGATGAGGTCCATGTGTGTGTCTTGGCACACCTGATCTCGTTTCCTCATTGTAGGTTGAAGGCCTTTGGCTGGAATATATACTCCCTCCATTACTCTTACCCTCAGCCCCTTACACACACCCATTTGACACAATTTGTTATTTTGGGTTATATAAATGTAATTATGTAAATTCCATCCGTGGCAAGAGTAAATCTAGTCTTTAAACTTCCATTTTTACAGTAAAAGACAATTGTATTGTCTTTTGACAGACTGATATTTCTGTTGGTAATTGTGAATATAAAACATACTGCAGCAATAACAGGTTTTATTTATCAAATAACAAAACCAATCCCAAGATAAGTAGTAATAGTAAGTAAAACAATGATGTTTATCTATGACAAAATTATTGAAGGGTTTTAAACACTCGTATCTGAGCATTGGCACTTAGCATCAATCTCTTAACAAAAAGCACACAAACTAATACAAAATAAGAATATTGAAACATTTGTGTAAAGAAAAAGTCAGACAAGTTGGACCCAAAAAGCTAAATGGTGAACAATATTTTTCATACATTTAAAATCTATTTTGAAGCATAGTTTGTCAACTCTGGCTCTTGATGGAAGAGTGACTTGAACTCTTAATAGTTTTACACATTGATCAGCTATCTTCAGAAAAGCATAAGACTTTAGACAGTATTGAGTGATGTCTGTTTGATGACATTTTCACATAAAAGTACAATCATAAAAATATCCCCTTAATATGTTAGAACTTGGAAACACCAGTTTAATTTCTACTTTGAACATTTTTCTTTTAAATATTCACCTAAAATAAATTGAAATCATCCTAATATTACTATCAAGCACGTAAATAGTTTTGTTTCAGTAAAATTCGGTACTAATGTAAAAAGGAAATCACAATTTTTATAATGACGCAATAATGAACAGGTTCCGTTTCATTCATTTTGGAACAACTTCATCCTGATTTTTGTTATTGCAATTTGAAAACATGTATTTCTTTTGAACAGATTTGGCTGTAACTGTTACTCGAGTAGAGCTTGGTTGTTTCTGACTCACTAAGAAGTTTTACAATTTATCCAAACTGTCAACAGCTTCTTGTTCTGTGTGATTTTTCCAAGCACTGGGAATTTCTCCTCTGCCCTGGAACTTCATGTTGTAGTGGGCCTCCAGTTCCTTTTGAAATTTGCAGACAAACCATTTCCAGTATGTCAGTTTAGACTCATCAGGAGTAATCTCCCATGAAGCGTATTTCTCCCCAGCTGTTTGATACTTTTTATAAGGAAAGCTGTATTTTGGATCACAACTGGGAATGAAACTGTAATCACTAGCAACAGATGTAGTACAGAAATTAATGTCCAGGTCCTTTGTGCCTTTCCAGTAAATTCCTGTAATCCCAGCAGGGCGATGGAAAGTGACTTTATGTTTGTCAGGACTGTGATCTTCCAGTGTGTTGGTACAAACAGCTGCACAGAATGGACACTTTACCCAGCAGCAGTTACAAAGCTGATCAATGAGGATTTGATCAGGCTTCATCCTGGATTCCTGCATTTCATCCAGTGAGAGGCTTCTCAGCTGCTTTACGATGGATTCAAGACCATTCTCTATCTCTTCTTTGAGAAAGTCAAAACTGTTCAAGTCACTGAAGTTTTTACAGCAGATGGGGTTGAATGTTAGCTTAGCTTGTAGCAAACTAGAAAATTCCTCCATCCACATGTCTGGGTCACCTCCGCTGGTTTTCACTTTCTCTGTTGCATTATATAAATCTAGACTCACAAGATTTTTGATGTCGTCCAAATTTTTCCTGAGTATTTTCATGCCCGTCTCTTTTCCCTCTTTTGTGGAGATGTAGTTCTGTACTTCTTCTCTTATATACGTCTCTGTGTGGTCCCTCGGTTGTTGGATGTAAGTAATAAAGCTATTGAAGTCCCCTTTCTTTGCAAGTGACTTCAACATGTGTTTCTCCAAGTCTGACCTGTTCCCATTGAATGCTGGGTAATTGCTCTTCATGGTATCAGTTAGATCTTTGGCGACCTTGTTGGAGACGGCCTCGACAACGGCACTCTTCAGCTTGTCACAGATCAGTTCTCCAAGTACAACAGCAGATGAGCTTCCTTTGCAGAAGTTTAGGAAAACTCTGTAATATTGCATTTTCTTACTGTCTACATAAGAATGTGCATCATTGTTCACTTTGAATTCCTTGTGCGATTCTGAAATCCAGGTCCATGCTCTGTGAAATATATACAGCGAGAGATCAACTGTGAACTCCTTCTTTAGAGCATATTTCTTCTTTGATTCAAATTCAGTCACTTTTTGTTTGACAGTGTTGGCAGCTTCCTGCAGGTAAGTTAAACTGTAGCCTGTTGAAGCAACAGGTCTTTGCTTGATTTGGTTTATGGTCTGTTTTTCAACATCATCAATCAGGGTTTTGATCAGTAGCTGTTCTTCATCCTGAAAAGACCACATGAAGACATTTTTTATTTTTGTAGTGAGGGAGACATAATGACCTAAATCACCAGCATGTGATATTGGTTTGTACTTGCCACTCATTTTGCATTCATTAACAAGAGACCATTCAAAACCCACGTTCTGAAGGACAGTTGACTGATCTTCATCATAGTTGATGTCCTCAATAGGTTTTGTATCTGCAGTTAGTTGTGTAACTAAGTCACTCCAGACAGAGTTGAACTGCTTTTCAAGTTCCTGTTCATTTTTTGCCTTGTCCTTCAACTTATGAGCGAGTTCTTTGCTTTTTTGTAGCAGGTTGTTCTCAAACTCTGCCTTCTTGTCATCAAGCTTTTTGCAAGCCTTTTTCTGCTGGATGATTTTATCCAGTTTTCTTTTCACTCCTTTCACTAGTTCATCACGAAACTCTTTGATTTTGCCTTCAAATCGACCTCGCCACTGAACCAACATGTCTTTGTCCCCGTCATCATCAAAGTATTTTGTCATTTCTTTTTGGATTTCTTCATAGGTTTTGTTCAATTTTTGATGAAGGTAAGTGAGTTCAACCGTTTCACAATTTCTATTTTGAATTTTGGTGTGAAGTTCAATCTCAATGGTCAGCATGTTGCTCCTCAGTTTCCAGGTCCAGTTCCCATACTCAACCTCAAGTTTTCTGTACACTGCAACTTCAAGTGTGTTTTTAAAGCTGAAAACAAACTGTTCGTTCATCAGGGCTTTCCACAGGTCCTGGATTTTGCATCTGAACTCAGAGAGAGTGATCCCAGCACACTCTTTAGCTTTGGAGAGGATGATGGTCTTCAGCTCTTGGACACTCTCACTATAACCTGGATTCGGAGGAGCCATAGGTGGACTTCCCTCCCAAAGCTGGGCAAAGTATTTCACATCTTTCTGCACATCAAATGCAATGACGTCACTGAAGAACTCTGCATCACAGCCCTCTTCTTTGGCTGCTAGTTTGGCCATATTGTCCAGTTTTTCTTGGAGCCGTCTCTTTCCATCCATGTTTTTTTCTGCAGCAGCAATATCTGTAACATTCTGATGAACAAACAAACAACTTGGAGAAAGTTTAATCTTCTTCATCCTCATGAAAGCCTGAACAACAATCTGCAGAACATCTTGCATCTCAGCTGGATTCTCTCCAAAGATGTTGATCAGTGTCATGTTACCCAGACCAACAACAAAGGTTGCCAGTTCATTGTCGTGATGAAGAGTGGCAATACCTTCCAACTCAAGAGCACGCAGTCCTTCAGTGTCCACCACTAGTACGTAGTCAAACTTAAAATCTTTCGTCATCTCCTCAGACACTTCGACCAGCTGCATGAAGGCACCCTTGGTGCATCTGCCAGCACTCACTGCAAACTGTAACCCAAACATGGCGTTCAGCATTGTTGATTTTCCACTGCTTTGTAAACCTAACACTGACAGAACAAAAACTCTCTTGTCCCCCAGTTTCTTGATGACTTCCTCTAAAAGACTGGAGATCCATGTTAGAGGTACACAACCTGCATCACCATCCATCAGCTCCATTGGGTGTCCTGATATCATCAGTTCTGCAGCCAGCTCAGGGTATTTAGACCAGTCAGTCGGTCCACTCTTTTTGGGTTTCTGCAGAGATTCATGTGCTTCATAGATCTGTCCCATTTCTCTAAAGAGGTGCTCCAAGCCAAAAGTTGCTGACTGTAGTTCTGTTGATATTTTATCGAGCTCAGTTTGCTTTGTTATCAGAAGTTCAGTCTTGTCAGGCTTCTTCTTCAAGGCAAATACCTCAGCCCACTTTGTATCATAGGTTTGGAGAATTGAAGAGATATTGTCTGTGGAGAGGGCATCTATTAAGATCTGAGTCCATTTCAAGAAATAATCATAATTATCATTTCCCGACAAAGTTGAGAGGCTTTCAGTGAACATTTTCATTGGTTCACTGCAGGAAACATTGACTTGTTCTTGTCGTTTTTCCATCAGTTTCTGTTCCTTTTGAACTTTGTCATCCTCAATGTTTCCTTTGAGGCAATACAGTTCTTTGTGGATTTTGCTCCATTCCTTCCACAGTTGACCTTGACAAGGGAGATATGTATCTTTGATCTTTGAAACTTCTATCCCCTGAAGCAAGCCCACATTTTTCATTGCTGCAGATTTCCCTTTTTGGCAGACTGTGTCTTCTTCATCCACTTTGATTCCACAAACTTTATTCATGGACTCAAGCTGGAAGAGTGAATGAGATCGAGACATAATCTTCCCAATGATTTTTTTCAGTTCTTTAGAAACAGCTGAGTGGGTTTTGTCTTTTAAACCCATTTTGTAATTTCCCTTTTTCATCTGGACAGCACCACCATCACTATCAGCAATGAGACAAATGAGAGGTTTTGCACCGTTGTAAAGGGCCGAGATCACTGCACTGCTTTTGTCATTTTTTTCCAGAGTTGGTACAAGTACCACAATGATTGAAGATTTGTCAGTCAGAATTTCACGCTGTTTTTCAAACGACAGAGCGTCACCATGAAGATTACAGAAGGCGACGCAGTCAGTGAAGGCATCGTTGGGTTTCCCAGCGGGGCAGTACCAGGCAATCTCTGCAACACCATCCATCAGGTGGCGAGACTCGGTGCTACCTGGGCAGTTTCTGTGGAAGAAGGTGTTGTGACGATCGTTGATCAAAGTGTTCATCAGCTGAGATTTAGACAGAGACGGTGAACCCAAGCGGAGGAATGAGACCATGGGTGTCTCAGCTTTGCAGATGGGCATACTCTTCATGGTGACCACGTTTGAGTCACCTTTCATTTCAGTTGCCTTCCATTTCTTTGTTATTTGTCTGAATGTCCACAGAGGACATTCAATATCCATTGTTACTGGGTCAGGAACAAGCAAAGGTAAGGCATACTGACACTGGGAGAGCTTTGTTACCATGTTCTGCTTAAAAAAGCTGTCTGAGCAGTGAAACACTGCCATCTGAACATCCATTGGATGCACGTGAGTCTGGAGATTAGATCGATCAAAGTCATCATTGGGGCTATAAAAGTAATCAAAGTCATCATCCTCAGTATCATCAGTAACGTTCTCTCTAACAGGGGTTGAATGGTTTAACTCTGGATTTTTTTCTTTTGTAGGAATATATCTGGCTCTGTAGTCTAACATCCACAACTTCTGGAGAAAGGTATAAGCCACATCTTTCTCATCTACGTCAACGTCCTGTTTCACAGGTGTACCTAATTTTAAGAAAGTAGCCGTTGAGAACTTTTTCTCAAGTTTTTCTTCAAGATGAAGTCTGCCAAGCAGTGTTTGATAATGTCTCTTTGTGTTCCTCCCATCCGAAGACTCCTCTGACTTCTGGAAATAAGTCAATATTGTATGTAGAAAATTATAACCACACATATAAGATATAAAGTAATAAAGATTCATTTTGAGTTTCTTACCACATCCATGTTTTCACTCGTATCCATATGAAACGGACCTGGTGTAGAGTCATAGACTGTATTGAAAAAAAATCCAGAATCATACAAGAAATGTGCTGTTAAAGTAATGTGTTTTTCTTTATATTGATAATATTCACTGTTAGCCAGGGGTGCCCACAGTTTTTCGGCTCGCGAGCTACTTTTCAATTGACCAAGTCATGGCGATCTGCTCCCTTGAGGACTAGCCGACGGGGAAAGGGGGTAGTCGTCGGGCGAACAAATGGTAGCGGTAACCAAACGGAAAAACGCCGCTGCATAGTCAGTGCAAAACAAATCAATATAAAATAACGAGTTTAGGGAACCGTCGCAACCGTTCCATACACTCTTAGAGATCCCCTTACTCGGATGATTTACACTGATTGGAGTCAGCTAAGGTTGCTTTTAAATTAAATGTGTCCGTTAGTAGGCAAGGAACGTTAATTAGCATTAGTTGTCCGTTCCTGCGGTCAACCGCGCATGTGCGACGTGATTTTTTTTTTCAATGACAGGCGGTCTACCGGCACTGCCTTGGTGATCGGCCGGTCGATAGCAATCAACCTATTGGGCACCGCTGCTGTAAGCAATGACGTTTTCCTGTTATGGTACTATTCATTGAAATATTACCTTTCTCATTGGCAACAGATTTTCCAGACTTGATATCAGAATTCAGTTCAATATCAGCAGGTGTTTTCACTGGATCACACTGAGAAAACAAATAATGGGGAGGAGAGGAGGTTTATAGAGTGTTTTGGTCTAAACTACAAAGGCAGCCAACTCCAATCTTCAGCAATGACTTGACTTAAAAGAGAAGTATCATTGATAAATACACAACGCGTGTAAAACAAAAAATCTCATATTCACCATTTCTTTTGCTGCGCTCTGCTCCAGCTCGCCTACAGCAGGGTAACAGAAAGCAGATCGCAGAAATGAGCAAACAACAATAAGTCTGGGGTCACTCAAATATTCCAAGATTGAGTCTTGTTCAACATGGTTCAACACCAAATAGACATAATGTTTTATTTCCCATTACTCAAATTGAAAGAGTTGAAGAAAAAAGTCAAAGATGTCTCACCCTCTTTGGTACCTGTTGGAGCTCTCTGAGGTGTTGGACATTTGTCTTTCACTACATCACTCTCCTCTTTGGACGGCTCACTCATGTTGCTGCTGCGGTCATTTTTCTCAAGATTTTCTTCAAGATGAAGTCTGCCAAGCAGAGTTTGATGTTTTCTCTTAGTGTTCATCCCGTCCGAAGACTCCTCTGACTTCTGGAAATAAGTCAATATTGTATGTAGAAAATTATGACCACATATAAATGATATAAAGTAATAAAGATACATTTTGAGTTTCTTACCACATCCATGTTTTCACTCGTATCCATATGAAACGGACCTGGTGTAGAGTCATAGACTGTATTGAAAAAAAATCCAGAATCATACAAGAAATGTGCTTTTAAAGTAATGTGTTTTTCTTTATATTGATAATATTCACTGTTAGCCAGGGGTGCCCACAGTTTTTCGGCTCGCAAGCTACTTTTCATTTGACCAAGTCATGGCGATCTGCTCCCTTGAGGACTAGCCGACGGGGAGAGGGGGTAGTCGTCGGGCGAACAAATGGTAGCGGTAACCAAACGGAAAAACACCGCTGCATAGTCAGTGCAAAACAAATCAATATAAAATAACGAGTTTAGGGAACCATCGCAACCGTTCCATACACTCTTAGAGATCCCCTTACTCGGATGATTTGCACTGATTGGAGTCAGCTAAGGTTGCTTTTAAATTAAATGTGTCCGTTAGTAGGCAAGGAACGTTAATTAGCATTAGTTGTCCGTTCCTGCGGTCAACCGCGCATGTGCGACGTGATTTTTTTTTTCAATGACAGGCGGTCTACCGGCACTGCCTTGGTGATCGGCCGGTCGATAGCAATCAACCTATTGGGCACCGCTGCTGTAAGCAATGACGTTTTCCTGTTATGGTACTATTCATTGAAATATTACCTTTCTCATTGGCAACAGATTGTCCAGACTTGATATCAGAATTCAGTTCAATATCAGCAGGTGTTTTCACTGGATCACACTGAGAAAACAAATAATGGGGAGGAGAGGAGGTTTATAGAGTGTTTTGGTCTAAACTACAAAGGCAGCCAACTCCAATCTTCAGCAATGACTTGACTTAAAAGAGAAGTATCATTGATAAATACACAACGCGTGTAAAACAAAAAATCTCATATTCACCATTTCTTTTGCTGCGCTCTGCTCCAGCTCGCCTACAGCAGGGTAACAGAAAGCAGATCGCAGAAATGAGCAAACAACAATAAGTCTGGGGTCACTCAAATATTCCAAGATTGAGTCTTGTTCAACATGGTTCAACACCAAATAGACATAATGTTTTATTTTCCATTACTCAAATTGAAAGATTTGAAGAAAAAAGTCAAAGATGTCACACCCTCTTTGGTACCTGTTGGAGCTCTCTGAGGTGTTGGACATTTGTCTTTCACTACATCACTCTCCTCTTTGGACGGCTCACTCATGTTGCTGCTGCGGTCATTGTTCACCTTGTTATCTTCATCAGGCTCTCCTGTTGAAGGGTCAAAGCCGACATATTTCACTTTAATTTAGTTCTCACTTTTATTGACACTACTGAATATCAATCATATTTCTATGTACAAAAATGCAATGTTGCAATAAAAAATACTGCTATTGTTACCTTTATTGTTTGCAGATGATAATACAGATTTCATGTCAGACTCTCCTCCCACTTCGATGTCTTCATCACACTCGTGTTTTGCACCATTTACTAAATCATTCTGCTAGAAAAACAAAATTGTCAACCACGTCCGAAACATTGGACTGCTGCACCAATTCAGAGTATAACATCATTAAAAATTCAATTCAATTAAAAAAATGTAATAACACTAAACACAATCTGTTTGTAGCTAAGGCATAAAAAAGTTAAACTTTCATGCAGGTGTTTTTAAATGATTCATATGTCCAACCAGATCATTCGATGAGTCAAACTACGCTTGAGCTCAAAACTGACACATAACGTCACAAAATAAATGAGTTAGCGGTTAAAAAGAAATTACTTTTGGTGATGACTTCTGAGCACCAAAATATCTCAGCATTATTATCGAGATCTGAATGCCAGCTTGAGGTTTGGAATTGTTTACTTAAGCGAGAGACTTACAATGTGATCTAATTTACATGCAGGTACTTTTAAGCATAAGGTGCTGCTCCATAATGATGTTCACTGAAATTAAAAAAAAATCTTTACCTTTACCTTGATTGCAGTTGCATTCTCATCAGTATCTTCTTCTGAAGGATAGTGTAAAAAAAATCAAAATTGTTTAGGTTTAAACAAGCATCACTGCATTAGCTGCATCACATTAATTTTTTGTTGAGGTAATAGTACCTGGGCTGGAGGGGGCAAACTAACAGGGGACTGAATAACAAAGGGGATAATAATGACATATACAAATGACTATGAATTCTGTCTAAATAAACATGGTATGGCCCGAGTATTAACACTGGTTGCCACATGTAAATCTTGATTCCAAAAACACTCTTTCAGACATCAGGTAGAAAGAATTGCTAACTCACAATTTATTCAATTCAACACCACGTTCATCTTAAAATGGTAGCACAGGTTTAATTAAACATTCAAATCTTACCTGTTTGACTTTCCTGACACATTGAGGGATCAATCCTTTCTTCCTTGTGGTATTTGTGGTCCATGTGTTCTTTCTTCCCTTTAGTTGCATCACACATCACACCACTGTGGTAGGGACCATTTTCAGAGACCATGGCATCTACTTGTTCCAGCAGAGCTATTATCTCTCGTTCATCCATACTTCGATACTTACAGGTGTGGGATCTTTTTTCAACAAAACTGCTGTTGGCTTTCAGGTCTGTTAGTGCACTTTCACATTTTTCATCTGACTCATGAGTCACAACTGTCAATACATAAGCCATCAATCCTTTCCCAAAAGATTTTTTTAACCACTGCACTCCTGAATTAAAATGACTGTTATGCTGGCCATTTGGTAACAGTGTGAGAAAGGCATGAATATCTTGATCTGAAGGGAATTCATCAAAGTTTTGTAGACCAATTGGGTTAACGACAGAGATATGCCGACCACACAAATCATATAGGTTGGTTGAAAACTGTTTCGCATTTTTTTGCTCTTCAAGTAAGATGTTTTTTGTTCCAATCTCAATGGAATTTGCTGTGAGATCCGGCATCACTGAAACAAATTAACAGAAAAACATTGCCGTGCTTTACTGTAGAATTCATTAAAAGAACATTTTGAATTATTTAAAAGTTCTGTTTTACATTTTGCTAAAAGGTAACACAAGAATATAATGAATCGGATACAGTAAATCTCACATTAGTTAATACTTATATCCGTGTGTTTTCAAACTTAATATTCTCTCCTGTTCAGGATTCTTAATATTGCATCGTTTACAGATCGTTTATCAGAGATTTATTCAAACATCAAGTTCTCATTTAATTTGAATTATTCAGTATTTGAAAAATCTAAAAGAAGTTGCTATAGAATCAATTCATAAAACATTACTTTTCTTATTTGACACAGACAGTTCCACGGCAACAGTCTCTGCTCCTGTGCTTTCATCATTTTTCTCAGATTGTTGAGCTTCACCACGTTCATTCACCAAATCAAGCTGAAAAAAATTTTAAAAGGAATACTAAATGATTGTGTTTCCAACTGAGATCACAATATTTTTGTGATGTTGATATGAGGAGTATATTTTCCACCCAGAGACAAGAAAACTGCATCAACATTTTAAACTTGAAGATGCAGTAACAGTGTTGTACCATTTTGTTTTACGACAAACATCTTCTCTTATTAAGATCATATCTTATCCAGCACTCTCATTACCACACCCCTTGTTTGCCAACGGGCATGATCACAAGCACGCACCTTTATACACACACATACTTCCATGGCAAACTATTGCCCCCTGAGGCAAAAAGGAAAAGGCTGGAGTATGGAGCAAAATCCAGGTCAAAACTTTTGTTCATTTGAAAAACAAATGTGAACCGGAAAGATTACATTTGCAAACTCTCTTGGCGCTGTCATTCGCTCGCATGGCTTCTCTTACCACAGCTATGCTGATGACACCCAACTAATTCTCTCCTTCCCTCACTCGGACACCCAGGTGGCGGCTCAGATCTCTGCCTGTCTAACTGACATCTCTCAGTGGATGTCCGCCCACCATCTGAGAATCAACCCCGACAAGACTGAACTACTTCTCTTTCCCGGAAAAGATTCGCTTACCCAGGACCTGACAGTCAACTTTGGGAACTCCGTACTAACGCCCACTTTGACCGCTAAGAACCTCGGCGTCACACTCGACAGCCAACTCTCCCTGACTCCCAACATCGCCGCGACAACGCGATCCTGCAGATACACGCTCTACAACATCAGGAGAATACGTCCTCTTCTCACTCAGAAGGCAGCGCAGGTACTGATTCAGGCTCTTGTCATCTCCCGCCTGGACTACTGCAACTCCCTCCTGGCTGGTCTCCCTGCCCCCGCCATTCGACCTCTGCAGCTCATTCAGAATGCAGCAGCTCGACTGGTCTTCAACCTTCCGAAATTCTCCCACACTACTCCACTCCTCCGCTCTCTTCACTGGCTACCGGTGGCCGCCCGCATCCAGTTCAAAACATTGGTGCTCACGTACCATGCTGTGAATGGATCGGGTCCAGCTTACATCCAGGACATGGTCAAACCCTACATCCCAACCCGCACTCTCCGCTCTGCATCTGCAAAACTACTCGTCCCTCCCTCACTGAGAGCAAAACACTCGACTAGGTCTCGACTCTTCGCTGTCCTTGCGCCGAAATGGTGGAACGAGCTCTCTGAAGACATCAGGACCGCAGAGAGCCTTCACATCTTCCGCCGCAAACTAAAGACACACCTCTTCAGACTCTACCTCGACTAAAGACTAACAAATTCTAGCACTTAAATTGTACTTGTAACGTCACTCATCTATAGCAAATTGTAAATTGGCTTATTTGAGGAAATTGCACTTTCTTGTTCTCCTGAGTTTGTACCCTATGGTTGAATGCACTTATTGTACGTCGCTTTGGATAAAAGCGTCAGCTAAATGACATGTAATGTAATGTTTATTGAACATTGAAAAATACAACAATGTATTCAAAATAAAAATATTTTCGAGTTGAATATAGTTTCAAAATAAAATATTTTTTCCATCAACTGGGAGGAGCATGTCATTGACATCTTCCTCAACAGCATTGCCTTGAGGAGACGAAAGATTGAAAAATGAGTGAAAATTGTTTTTTTCCCCCATACAACTAGATTTTAATCTGAAAATATAAAATCTGCAACCAAAAAATATAATACAGTGAATATCAAAATATATACAAAAGTGAAGATTGAAAAAAATGTTTTATTAAAAACATATAGCTGAGACAAAGCTATATTCAACCCGAAAATATTTTTATTTTGAATACATTGTTGTATTTTTCAATGTTCAACAAAATGTAATCTTTCCGGTTCACATTTGTTTTTCAAAAGAACAAAACGTTTGACCTGGATTTGGCTCTATACTGGTGGCAGATAAAAATGGGATTACTGTTTAAGAAGAAATAAAGTTGTATAGTGGTGATAACAAATGAAGATTAAGTGACTTTCTTTTACCTTGTTTTCAGCTGCACTCTCTTCTAACTCCTCCACTGCAGGATCATATTGGAATAGTAGAATACATATTGTCAAACAAATACATCATTTGTTCAGTTTAGTTTATTTTAAAAACTTTTGAATTACAGTACTTTTTTCATCTGTCCCAGATGGTAACACCGATTTGGCTTCAGACTCTGTTTCAGCTACTTCATTGTCACTGCATTCCTCCTCTTCAATCTTTTTGGTTCTTCATGCTTTATAGGGGTGTAAGACAAAGTCAGTTAGAAATATACTATAATTTATTCTGCATGAGTATTACCATCCAAGCTGAAAGACCATGTATCGTCTTCAAAAATGAATCAATCAATGTTTTCGGTTAAAAAAAATAAATAAAAAAAAGTTTAACCAGAGCCCATCACAAGTTATCAGAAGAAATTGTGCAGAGGTTTAGAAGTGATCCTGATCTTATATTTTGATTTTTTGGTCCGTCTAGATGTGCTGCCTTGTGGCAAATCTTAATTCTCTGATGTGTTGAGCTGAATAGTTCTTTTAACCATTGATGACAAAAATATAGTCAGTGACGTGCAGCCACTGGAGGCAGTGCCTCCCCTTGTGTCATCATGAAATGTGAAAAAAGATTAAAAATTATACATATTATATACATTTGTCCACTGATCTGTGATAGAAGTGTATTTATTACATTCCAATCAATCCGATTGTTATTGTCAAAATCGCTGAATGTGTGTACTTTCCTGTTCAAATACGGGAAGGCGGCAGCGACGAGCTTTATGATTGCGCAATCCCTCATAAACACAGTTGAGCTGCTCATGTTTTTGCTCAATTGGAGCACGTGCAATTAAGGTCTATATGTCAGCAATATAATGTTTGTATACAGTTTTATCACATGTCCTCACATCCCATAGTCTTGCTAATCTGACATAATGCTGGACTGGATCCTCCTCCCTGCTTGTCACTGCTGTGGTGGTGGAGTCAGTACCTCTGCCTGCCTGAAGGGGGCGTGTGTGAGCACTCGCACTCCTTCTGCTGTTGTTTTTCTTCACGCATTACAGGCTGATAGCATGTGCTAGCTAAAACAGTCAAGTAGCGAATGCCAAGTGCACATTATCAGTGCTTAAGTCTGAATCGGACCAGACTACTTTCATTACATGTCATTTAGCAGACTATTTTATCCAAAGCGACTTACATTACTCTTTAAACCCATGGCTTTTCACATTTTTGCTCGGGGAGCAATTAGGGGTTAGGCGTCTTGCTCAGGGACACTTCGACATGGAACATGGGGCAGCCTGGAAACCACCAACCTTGTGCTTCCCAGCACACCTTCTCTAACCCCTGCGCCACGACGACTTTCAACCCGACCAATAAGGTTTGATACAAAAGACACTGTTAACACTAAAAGATGATAAAGAGGACTTTTACACCAAAGTCATAGACATGTTTTTCCAGAAGGATAGGCGAATGGACTTAACGTAATTAACAAGAGCATGCATATGTGGCAATACAAGTGGCCTATGACACTCAAGGGAAATAACAATGTCCAACAACGCCACTTGGGATAGGCCAAAGACCATTCTTAAAGGCACACAGAGCCGTTCATCAAAATCGGGGGTCAGAGACCATACGGTAATTATAAAAATATACGGTTTTATTTATTTAAATATTCTTTTTAAAATGACAATATGTTCTTTGTTAAGAAGTGAGTAGATGAGTGATTTAAAGAAAATAATAAACAATTCAAATCAATAAACCAGCATGCATAATAAGGAAGATGCAAACAAAAAGAGACCCACATGCAATATGTACAACAGTTAATACAATATAAAGCCATTTTTGTACCAGTTTCCAGATTGCTTGTGTAATCAGAAGTTTTACCAGAATCCAGAACGGTTTCAGCCAGTATCAAGAACAGCTTCAGTGGGGAGGGAGAACGCGCCAGGGAATATTGGCCCTTTAATTAGTCAAGGCACCAGGGTAGCCCCACAATAGCATGTCGAAGGCTGCAGGTCAGTCCAGCGAATTACAGTACAGGCCGCCCACGGACCCCGGCGGTGGCACCAACCTCGCACACACACACTCACAGACGGCGGCCCACACGAGACACCGAACGCCAGCAGTCCAGGCATACATCCACCCACACGGGGACATCCATGACCAAGACAGGGTCGCACACCGCAGCAGAATGATGACCTAGGGCAGCGGCCAAAACATGAAGCACGCCTCCCGGATACATCTCCACAGACACCCAGCAGGAGAAGACAACAGAACGAGTCTACACACCACAGGCTTAAGTAATGTCCCCGCCTCTCCCAATCAATCGGAATTAGCCCCAGGTATGCTGGTCCACACCCCTGTGTGCAGGTAAGAGGGAGGGGAAAACCCTCATCTGATCACACATACACTGCTGTACAGGACATAAAAATAAAAAATAAATAAAAGACCAGCCCTATTTCCTACTATTTTAATATATAAAAGAACATTTAAGCAATAAGGTACGAGAGGCTGTACTTTATCGTCAATAATGCACTGTTCAAGGGTGTTGTTGGCAAACCTTATTGCTGTGTATCGCATTTCAGTAGCCTACAGGAAATCCCTGTACTTGTTACTATGCAACAGACAAACAACATTGGGAACTTTGTTAGCCTAGCACCAGAAGTTGGTTGATGATTAGCAAGGAGATCGACATTAATTTGTGCGACTCATTCATTCACTTCGCTCAGGACGTCCACCTGAATTGTCCTCTTTGGCTAAAAAGTGCCCTAAATCGGTTGCTCGCATTTCCCAAAACTGCTCATTTTCGCCGTTTCTGGGCTGTTTCTAGCGATCGCCACCAAGCTAAAAACTGAAATGACAACCGTCACACAAAATCTAACCGTTATTTCACTGATATGAACACTCAGGTTAATGTACAGGTAACATTACATTATGGCTCAATTCAGTACACCCCGTGACTCACTCACAACCAATCAGAACGCTTGATTTCATCTGCCCCGTATTATAAAAGAATATACGATACAGGATATTGAACATAACCAGTAGTCGAGGTGCAAGCAGCCAGTTGAATGGTGAATTTATACATTTGTGAATCTGACTTTGAAAGAGTCAGTGCCTCCCAGCCACTAACCTCACCGCACGTCACTGATAATAGTGAGTGTCCTAATATTCCTAATAATCTTTACAATCACTTAAATAAAAGTGAACATAAGAGCGCTTTTTCACAACAAAGCATTTGACTCGGAGGACCAACTGCAATGAGACTCACAGGTCACAATATCAATGGCAAGAACTGTCAACGATGAATACATGCAACAATATATAAATGGCGCCTGGCCATGCAACGCTCTAAACATGATTAAAAGCATCATGAACTGGATTCAAAACTAACTCCAATGTGAAATACATTATATAGACCAAATCAATATTTTCAAGGGAACATACGTTTGCTAATTCTTATCATTTTGTCTCATTAATCAAGCATTACACCATACACCAGGGGTCTCAAACAACGGGGGGTACCAACTTTGGCGTACTCCTTCCCCCCGTCGACCGTACCGTTCGCCGGTCGTACCATGTAGGATATTAGAAATAAACTGATGACCCGGTTCATAAATTAATAAAATGCATTTAGTGAACACCAGACTACAGCCATGATTCTGGAACTATGTAATCAATAAAGTAATGCTAATGTTGTAAAACTGTAATTAAAGTACAATCACAACTCGGTAATTGCCTCCAATTTTAACAAAAGAGAACGTAGAGCATTTAAATCTACATTGGACAAACTTGTTTCTGTTCACACTTCCCACTGGAGCACTAAACCAATGTGTCTCATATCCTTAGAAGCCGTAGCACTTATTAAAAGTTCCGTAGTAAAAAGCCATTATGAGGCACAATGACATCCTCCGAGTGAGGAACAAATTGGCCCAGACTCCATTCACGGCCAAGTTTAACATCCTGCCAGGACAAACTAGAGCTCAATACTGGATATATATATATATATATTCTATAAAGCTGTTCAATTGTTAAAATGTTTTTATTTATAATTGGCTAAGATTGCCGAGTCGAAATGTGAAAAAGTAAAGGGAAAAATGAAGCTCTTCTTTTTATTGAATTGAAGCACTTTATTTGAACATGCACAATTTTATTTTATTTACTTACTCGTATTTTGAAATGCAGCCCTACTTTTATTTACTTAATGTGAGAACATTATTAGACTTACATGTCTGTTCAGTTCTTTGTTAAATGCAGTTGTTGATACAACTCTATTTCTCTATTTAATCACACTGAATAGTCACATTATGATCTTCAGCACCTTGGTTCTTGCTTTAAATAAATAAATAATTGAGTAAATTCATTTCACAAACAGATGCATCATATGCTATAACTCATTCATTTGTATAAACTATAAACTACTATAATTATTTTGTGTCACCTTACCTTTGCATGGTCTGTGGAGGTGTGGATGCCGTGTCAGTGTGCAGGTCCTATTTATTCAGAAAGACATCAGAAGGCTGTAGAACTTGTTTTTCCTCCACATACCCCTCCCGCCTTTTAAAAAGATGTCATAGTTCTGTAGTGTCATAGTTCATAGTTCATAGTTCAATCTGAGAGCTCTGCAGGAAGTTTGATAGTTAATCAGTGAAGTGAAATACCAAAGATCAAGTCCAACTGGCCTAACCTGTCATATACGATAAAACCATGTGCCTTCAAGAAAAAAGGTGTACGTTTTTATCGGGCACAGGAAATTTTAGTGAAGCACAAAGTACTGTTACACTGAACAACGAGACAACAAAACCTTAAACTGTTTGAGTACAGCTCTTTATCATGATATTCTTCATGCATGTTATTTTTAAATGAGAAACAACATTTCAAAAGCCATTCACAATGAGATATTATATATAGATTAGGGCTGTCATCATAAACACATTAATCTATGTGATTAATGTGGCAGAATTCATGCAACAAAGTATGTAGTTAATGTACACTTTTTTTACTTTCGGGACTGGAAGTAAACCGGAAGTTGAAGCGGAAACGAAGCAAAAGTATGAAACTTTAGCTGAGGTTCACACAAAAATATGTTTGATGCTGGTAGTGGGACTCCAACACACCCCAACGAGGTAGAACTTTTATTTTTAAGTAAGAGCTTCATACATGTAACGTGTGTCCTAAAAACACCTGGAGAAACACCCAGTCAGTGTGTTGAGGAAAAACCAACTCGAAAGCCCAACAAAACTCACACAGTCCATTGTCTGATTGTGAGGTCAGGCCGATCTGGGCCCAGATGTTTTACCGTCTCCACTAAAGTTCTTCTCTCAAACTCGTTTTGGAGGAGAGATTTTATCGAGTTAAGGGAAGATCTTCTTGGAAGGATACTGCTCGCCATTGCCATGCCGTTAAACGGGCGCCTCGGGAGACTAGCCCTGAATCGGGCGCGGCCTGGGGCCAGCCGCACGATGGAGCAAGGCCGAATTTAACTGCTTCTTAGACCTGCCTCTTTTGGGCCTTGCCCCAGACCAGACATGCAGACCGGTGGAGAGGACGTGTAGGAAATGCGCGGATATCTTACTTTACAAGTATTACTGGGTATATTCCATGTTTCAGAAACACAAATACAAAAATATTGACTATTTGTAAAACATATTTTTAATTGAAAACAATTAGAAGCTTTTGAAAGTTTGAAGCTTTAGTTTGAAGCCAAGTGTTTTGTATTTGTTTATTTTAAAGAGTTAAAGAAGAAAATTAAAAAAGCCTTATCGTCAATTGTCGGTTTGTGCTTTAAAGTACTGGTTAAGGTACCGGAATCTTATTAAAAGTATCATTTTAGCACCGGTATCGAGAGAAAAAAAAAAAACCCAGTGCTGCCAGATGCTAGATAAAGTCTTCTGAACTGCAGTTTCAAACTTGTGTGCTGATATATCACAGACTTTTTCAGACACAGAGTCATGTCTCTGACTGACAATAGCCTGTTTTACTGGTTTGATAAGGAAGAAAACAGATTTTGTTATGATACTTTAGCTGAGGTTCACACTATTGCAAATATGTTTGCTGCTGCTTGTGGGACTCCCAACAAACCCCAACGAGATAGAACTTTCCTTTCAGTAAGAGATTCATACATATAACGTGTGTGTCAGGCCCACGTTTAAAGAGAGGACTCATGAGCAGAATGAACAGAAAAGGGCAGTCTTTATTTGGCTCAAAAAAATCACAAAACTCAAAAAACTCAATCACTCCATGAGCGGAAAACATAAAACTACAAAAAAACTCAAAATCGCTCCATTAGGAGGAAAACACAAAAAGGTATAAACAGGTTGGAGGAACTGAGTCCATAAAAAGAAACAGAAATTCTTATAGAACGGGAACGGGGAAAGGAAGACCGAACCAGGCAGGCAGACAGAGGGACACCGAGTTAAAGGCGACAGGCTCAGGTTGCAGAATGGTCGGTACACTCCTGCACCAGGGAAAGGGAAACACAGACTATAAGACACGTGAGGGTAATGGGAAACCGGTGGACACAATCCGGGATCAGGGGAGACGATTCGACTGGTCACACATGAGGGGCAAGTGACCTGAAACGAGAGAGGGGTTAATCTTTCAAATAAAACAGGAAATGACAAGACAAGGCACGAAGACGAGAAAACCCCAACTTGATCTCACCGGGGAGTGACAGTGTGTCCTAAAAACACCTTTCCGAGCAATAATTATAACATTGGGTGACTGATAATCAAAAACGTTTTCTTACTGTTAATTTATGGAGTTGCTGTCTTGCTGGTTGAGAAATGCAATGTTAGAAAACAAAGCGGAAAGTGCCAAGCCAGCAGAATCCGTTTAGATAAGGATGATAGTTAGAGACTCACCACGCACTAGACCACAGACTATCTTATTGTATTTAGTATTACACTGGAAGGAGCTACTCCTCCTCAACGCTAGTTTAAGGCCCATAAGAATCTTTTCTCTATATTGTAACAACTACAAAACGCAGACCGACAGAACTGCTCACTGCCTTTGCAAACGCAGCGCTGACACTTTACCTGTGATCTGACAAATAAATCTACCAGAATGAGGGAAGTTGTGGTGGTGGAGGTGTGCGTGTGCATGTAATCTTGTATAGTGTCACAACAAACCATACTCTTTTACCAATTGCAAACTGGGCATCAAGGCGGAGAGAAAAAGAGACCACCTGAGACCAGAGGGCCTTGTTCTTTGTTCTCCTCAGCAGGCACTTACCGATATGGCTTTTAATGGTAATGTGACACCCTCCGTTCACATGTGCATGTCCAAAATTCACCCGTGTCTTCCCTCAAAGAAAATAAAAGCAACACACCACATTATGGCTCCAACACCTACCATTATATTGACACAGCGGGTTTGGCTCCAATAGACACACGCAGACACGTGCAAGCTCGCTACCACCAGTGGACCCCCCCCTCTCCCTCCCGTCGGCCGGTCCCTCCGGCCCCCAAAGTTGTAAACCCAGGGCACACTGTGAGTATACTGTAAACTAATATACATATTGTTTATAGTTTGACGTTTAAAAGTTTGAATCTTTAGTTCGAAGCCAAGTGTTTTGTATTTATTGTTTATTTTAAACAGTTATATGTTGTTCAATTTGAAAGAAGAAATGTACCTTGATAATAAAAAAAGTCTTTCTTTAATATCGTCAATCGTCGTTTTATGCTTCAAAGTCTTGGTTTGGGTGCTGGTATGTGTAAAAACCCAAACGATCCCCACCCCTAGTGCTGCCAGGTGCTAGATCAAGTCTTGTGAACTGCAGTTTCAAATGTGTGTGCTGGTATGTCAAACACATTTTTCGAAACAGTCATGGCTCTGACTCTTTTGGTGTGAAACAATAGCCTGTTTTACTGGATTGATGAGGAAGAAAACAGCGTTTGTTATGAAACTTTAGCTGAGGTTCACACAAAAATATGTTTGATGCTGGTAGTGGGACTCCAACACACCCCAACGAGATAGAACTTTTATTTTTAAGTAAGAGCTTCATACATGTAACGTGTGTCCTAAAAACACCTGGAGAAACACCCAGTCAGTGTGTTGAGGAAAAACCAACTCGAAAGCCCAACAAAACTCACACAGTCCATTGTCTGATTGTGAGGTCAGGCCGATCTGGGCCCAGATGTTTTACCGTCTCCACTAAAGTTCTTCTCTCAAACTCGTTTTGGAGGAGAGATTTTATCGAGTTAAGGGAAGATCTTCTTGGAAGGATACTGCTCGCCATTGCCATGCCGTTAAACGGGCGCCTCGGGAGACTAGCCCTGAATCGGGCGCGGCCTGGGGCCAGCCGCACGATGGAGCAAGGCCGAATTTAACTGCTTCTTAGACCTGCCTCTTTTGGGCCTTGCCCCAGACCAGACATGCAGACCGGTGGAGAGGACGTGAAGGAAATGCGCGGATATCTTATTTTACAAGTATTACTGGGTATATTCCATGTTTCAGAAACACAAATACAAAAATATTGACTATTTGTAAAACATATTTTTAATTGAAAACAATTAGAAGCTTTTGAAAGTTTGAAGCTTTAGTTTGAAGCCAAGTGTTTTGTATTTGTTTATTTTAAAGAGTTAAAGAAGAAAATTAAAAAAGCCTTATCGTCAATTGTCGGTTTGTGCTTTAAAGTACTGGTTAAGGTACCGGAATCTTATTAAAAGTATCATTTTAGCACCGGTATCGAGAGAAAAAAAAAAAACCCAGTGCTGCCAGATGCTAGATAAAGTCTTCTGAACTGCAGTTTCAAACTTGTGTGCTGATATATCACAGACTTTTTCAGACACAGAGTCATGTCTCTGACTGACAATAGCCTGTTTTACTGGTTTGATAAGGAAGAAAACAGATTTTGTTATGATACTTTAGCTGAGGTTCACACTATTGCAAATATGTTTGCTGCTGCTTGTGGGACTCCCAACAAACCCCAACGAGATAGAACTTTCCTTTCAGTAAGAGATTCATACATATAACGTGTGTGTCAGGCCCACGTTTAAAGAGCGGACTCATGAGCAGAATGAACAGAAAAGGGCAGTCTTTATTTGGCTCAAAAAAATCACAAAACTCAAAAAACTCAATCACTCCATGAGCGGAAAACATAAAACTACAAAAAAACTCAAAATCGCTCCATTAGGAGGAAAACACAAAAAGGTATAAACAGGTTGGAGGAACTGAGTCCATAAAAAGAAACAGAAATTCTTATAGAACGGGAACGGGGAAAGGAAGACCGAACCAGGCAGGCAGACAGAGGGACACCGAGTTAAAGGCGACAGGCTCAGGTTGCAGAATGGTCGGTACACTCCTGCACCAGGGAAAGGGAAACACAGACTATAAGACACGTGAGGGTAATGGGAAACCGGTGGACACAATCCGGGATCAGGGGAGACGATTCGACTGGTCACACATGAGGGGCAAGTGACCTGAAACGAGAGAGGGGTTAATCTTTCAAATAAAACAGGAAATGACAAGACAAGGCACGAAGACGAGAAAACCCCAACTTGATCTCACCGGGG